TGTGAGTCAAAAGGAGATTTCAACATCGGATTGTTGAGTAATCAACATGTGCTTATTAGATCGATTTTATTGGAAGATAATGTTCTATTTGTATTTAAGTCTGCATTCTACAATATGCAAAACAATTGTTCATTCCCTATGAGGCTTTAAAGTGGGATCCAATGTTTAATCCAGATGAAGAGACAACAACAACGATAGCTTAGATCTCTTTCCCTTCTATTCCACCAAACATTTTTGCCAAGGAGGTAGTATTTTGATTAGTAACAACAGTCGGGAAGCTTCTACAGGTATATATGGCGATGAAGAATCAAAAGATATCAAATTGTGCATGAATAAAGTGGAAGTTGATTTGCTAAAGGAGTTCCCTAAACGAATAAAACATGGAATGAGGATGTAGAATAATGATGTTTAGTCGAAGTGGATAAAAATCAAATATGACTGTTCCAAAGTACAATCATACATGTATGATTCAGGGCCACAATAAAGAGCAGTTTTATGTTGGTCATCCAGAAATATATCCGTACAAGGAGAAATCAGATCATGAGGTGGGCAAAAAAGTTGAATAAAGGCCTAATAAAGGGGACACAAAAGGGAAGGACAGAATGGAGAGAGAGATGACGGTACTCTACAGGTGCTAACGGTAAAGACTTTGTGGAACCAAAACACAAAACTTGGGGGAAGAAGGAACAAAGAACCTCAAAAGGTATGAAATAAGGTGGGAAATAAAACAAGAAACAAAGTCAACTGTTTGGAGATGGACAAAGAAGAACAAAATAAAAATCAAGAGGAGGAAAAGATAAAGGAAAATGAGATAGACATAGAGTAAGATCATTCAAAGGATATGTAACAAGGACTGCAAGAAACAACCAACAATAAGCAAACACACAAGACAGAGGCATCAACAAGTAGTATTAACAGTAAGAGCGGGGCCAGAAAGGAAATTAGCAGTGAACATACTATTAGTGAAGTCAAGACTAGGTTTGAGAAACAAAAGGATTCTCAACATAAAATTATGAAGTTGAAAAGGATTTGATGTCAAGAAGTAAAGGGGCAGAGAGTAGACATACAACAACGAAGGAAAGTGGGCCATATCACGAAATCTGTTTGCATCTAGTGCGAAGAGGACAAAGAAAATTGCAGTGAAGAGGGAGAGATTCCAAAAGGTCCTGATTTAGTAGATGATGAGGATGACAGAGTGCGTAATAAAAGAGATATAGAAGAAGATGAAGACTTTGACTATAACATTCAGCAAATCAGTAAGGTAGGATATTTGTCTCCAAGGCATACTAACAGCTTGAAATATGGGGCGAGGAAAGGTAGACCAGATACCATTACTGGTCAAAACAAGGAGCAGCAGGGACAGGTGTTTAGGCATTGATCAATGATAGAAAAATGATTTTTTGGAATATCAGTCAATTAATACTCAAAAATATTTTGAGAGGTTAATGGATTTGACTAAAAGACATCAATACACATTTATAGCTTTGATTGAACCTTTTCAAAATCCATCGGATCTAGAACAATACAAAAGAAGACTAGGTTTTGATAAGGCTGGAACCAATCGGAGTGGTTAAATATGGTGTTCCTTGAAAAATGACTGGGAAGGCAATATACTCTTGGACACATTGCAACAGTTTACTATTTGATTTAAGAAAAATGGTAAGGCATTTATAATTTCTATGGTATAAGCTAGGTGCAATGCCTTGGAGAGACTAGAGTTATGGGAGGAATTACAAACTATAGTGGAAGATGTGCAATGTCTATGGATCATTGAGGGAGACTTTAATGTAATACTAAATGAGGAGGAAAATTTAGGTGGATTAGACTTCACTATGAATGAATCTATTTACTTTGCATCGTTCATTAGTAATTGTGCTCTATGAAAGGTAGAGTTTTCAGGCAGTAAATAAACATGATACAATGGGCGGATTGATTGTTACTATTACATTACTTGTTTAATTCATTGTTGATATAAGTTTAATTCACTCTAGAGATCATTGTTTGGTGTTTCATTAGTTACATTTTTTATTCATGCTTAATTCTCTTTTCTAATTCAACTTTTTATATTTGTGTAATACATTTCTAACAAAAGTTAATTCATTTTGATGTTTATTGGTTTGATTTGTTATGACTGAATTACTTTTTAATTTATTATTGATATATACAAGTTTTAGTCAGTTTACAAATCACATCATGTTCATTCGTTTGCTACAGTTTGCATTCATGTTTAATTCGCTTCTAAGTCAACTTTAATATGTGTGTAATACATTTTTAATTCAAGTTTAATTCATTTGAAAGTTTACTATGTATCTTCATTTGTTACGATTTGATTACATGCGTCTAAATAATTATTGTTACAAGTCTATTCAGTAGACGAATCATTGAATGCTCTTTCATTTGGATACTTTTGTAATTCATTATTGATACATGTTTGATTCACTTTATAGATCATTGTGTGATATTTCATTAATTACATCTTTTTATTCATGTTTAATTCTCTTTTTTAGCTCAAGTTTAATATTTGTGTAATACTCTTTTATATACAAGTTTAATTCATTTTGCAATTTGTTGGTTGATTTGTTAAGATTGAACTACCTGGTTAACTCATTACTGATACAAGTTTTATTCAATTTACAGATCAAATAATGTTCTTCATTTGCTACATTTTTTATTCATGTCTAATTCTCTTCTAATTCAACTTTAATATATGTGTAATACATTTTAATTCAAATGTAATTCATTTTGCAGTTCATTATGTCACTTTATTTGTTACACTTAGATTTCTTGTTCAATTTATTATTACTACAAATTTTATTCGGTGAATCATTAACTATTCTATCAAAGAAAGTTGAAAAAGAAAGACAAAGAAAAAGGAAAAGAGTAACAGTATGAGAGGGAGAAAGAACAAGAGAAAAAAAAAAGGAGAAAGAGTGAGACAGAGAAAAACCAAGAAATTAAAAAAATCAAGAGAGTAAAAGAAGAAAGAGGTGAGAGAGAAAGAGAAATCCAATCAAATAGATAATATTGTTATATATTGCTATAAATGATAAATAATTAAAAAGATTATTTAAATAATTACATATATTTAAAATATCCTATTTATCGATCTCCTTGTCATTATTACAATCTATTAAATATTTTTTCTCTCGTTTCTATTATAATTTTTTTTCTACATTTTATTTTATAGTTCTTAAAACTAATAATCTTATTTATCTCTCTTCTTTATCATCATAAAAAATTATTCTTATTCACGTAAACATTCTTTTTCCTTGATTATTTTTCTTTCTTTTCGTTTATAAAATTTGAAGAAAAAAATAAACATATTATTATTATTAATCAAAAAATAATCTTTTTCTCATTAATTTTTTTTCTCTTGATCTGTAAAATATGTAAAAATAAAACTTCTCTTTGATTAAGAGTCATAATTATCCTTTTTCTCTTTTTCTTGACTATTAAACATTTTAAAGTTATATTTTATGTTGAAAAACTCAAAAGAAGTTATAATAATATCCAATTTAATTTTTTTAAATATACTTATAGTACTCAACTTATATTATGATTATAATTCTCTTCTTATCATTACTGCAATTTATTCTTTTTTATCTCTCCTCATTATCATTATAATTTAATGTTTCTTCTTAAATTAGTTTTTTTATCCTCTATATTTTACTAATTTTTTAAAATGAAAATTTTATTTATCTCTCAACCTTATTATAATAATTTATAATTATTAATGAAGAAATTTTCTTCGCTAATTTTTTTTGTTGGTCTATAAAATCAATTAAAAAAATATCAAATAGCTTAATTGTCTCTCCTCACATTACTACAATTTATCACTTTTTCTTTAAAAAAATTTATATCATCTATTTCTTAAAAGAAATTCTATAAAATAATAATATCATTCATTTCTCTTTCTTATTATCGAAAATTTATATAAATGAAATTTCTAAAATTTTCTCTCAATTTTATTTCTTTTTATCTTTAAAATTTAACCAAAAATTATATATTTAACAAAGAATCATAATTATTTTTTCCTCTTATTCTTGACTTTTAAAATATCTTTTCTTGTTTATGTGTTATGCTAAAAAAAATTAAATTCAAAGAATTTCTATAAGATATTATCTAATTTACTTTTTAATATAGTTGTACTCACATTTATAATATGGTATTATATTTCAAATAATAATAATAATAATAATAATAATAATAATAATAATAAAGAAGAAGAATAAGAAGAAAAAGAGAGAAGTATTTACAGAAAAAGAAACGGAAAATGCATAAGTAACCCTCAACCTATGCATGAATTTTGAGAGACACTTTTATTAGACTAAGGTCTTATTATCTCCTGTCAACACATGTTGGTCCCATAAGATAGTGTCATGTAGGTCGAAAAGGGGCATAAAAATTATTTATCAAATAAATTCAGGGGGTAATAGGACCTTAGTAAAGTATAAATGTATATCTGAGATTTCGGGCGTAGGTTGAGTGGGTACTTATTAACATTCATAATTAAAACATTTGTATTAGTTATTTCAATTACTTAGTTAGTTAGTTTCCAATTTATAGTTAGTGATGTCATAGTTAGTTACATAACAAACTAATTAGTTAGTTAGTTAGTCTTTTCCTTTCCACTAGATTGATTCATCCAAATCACATGTATATATACATCTCATGAATGATGAATGAAGTAATCAATCTTTCGACAAGATACAATCTCAAAATCTGCATTGCTATTCTTTCAATTTCCTGTTAGAGAGCTTCATAGCCTCGTCCATGGCTGCTCTTGTGTAGCTTGAAGGTTCCTAATATGGTATCAGAGCACACGGTTAATTACTCTCTTCTTCTTCTTCTGGTTACTTGTTTTGATTGATTTCCTCAATCGATAACAAGTGTTGAAGTTACTATGTTGATTTATATTTTGTTTTTCTTCAGATTTTCATCTCAGTTTCTCTTCTTTTCCTTGTCGAACAGTTCATAATAATCTTTGTTGTGTTGCATTCATGGCCATCGAAAATACTGCATCCACATCTGAGGGAACTAACACATCTGGAAGTGATACTAATGGTGTTTTGTATGTGCATCCCTCAGACAATCCAGGAATGATTCTTGTTCCTGTTCAGTTTGATGGAACAGGATATAGGTCTTGGAGAAGAGGTGTCATGAGGGCTTTATTAGTGAAAAATAAGTTGGGTTTCATTGATGGAAGCTCTGAGAAACCAAATACCAATTCACCTCAATTACGTCACTGGCAGAGGTGTGATGATATGGTAACATCTTGGATTCTGAAATCTTTAATCAAAGAAGTTTCACACAGTGTGGATTATCTAAACAACTCTGCTGAACTTTGGAAGGAGTTGGAAGATAGGTATGATCAAACCAATGGAGCAAAATTGTATCAAATCCAAAAAGAGATCAATGATCTCACACAAGGTGTTTTAGACATCACTGTCTATTACACAAGAATGAAGAAGTTGTGGGAAAAGTTGAATACTTTGAATGTGAAAAATCATTGTAGTTGTGTTTGTGTGTGTGGTGCAAAGGATGGTATGCACAAGGCTGAGCAAGATAGGCGTCTAATTCAATTTCTTATGGGATTAAATAAAGTGTACATAGTGATAAGAGGAAATATTCTCATGATGAATCCACTTCCTTCCATGGGTCAGGCTTTCTCATTGCTGATCCAAGAGGAAAAACTAAGAGAGTTTAAGCCTGTTGGTAGAATGTCTACATATTCAGTTTCATTGAATGTTAAAGTTGTTGATAACAAAGGAAATGGAGGAAGATTTTTTAAAACTAATTTTCAAGGAAACAACTATGCAAATGGCTATGGGAATCATGGTGATGCCAACAATGGTTCTGGAGGAAATCATTATCCAAGTAATAACAGTAACAGAAGTGTCATAGTGTGTGACTATTGTAAAAGGACTGGGCACATCAAGGATAAGTGTTACAAGTTGCATGGGTATCCCCAAAGAAGTAACAATCAAAATAATAGACTAGGAAATTACAATGATTGTCAGAGTTTTAGACAACAAAGCTCAAATTACAAAGGAAAGAGAGTGGTAGCAAATGTACATGGTACTGTAGGTGATATGATGTCTGCTAATGGAGAGGAACAGTAACAATCTCAAGGTGACAATTTAAAGAATGTTAACTTCATTAAGGAACAATATGGACAGATCATGAGTCTATTGCAACATTTCCAGAATGAGAATATGGGAGAAGATATTGGTGCCAATAATGCTTCTAGTATGGCTGCTGGATCAATGAATTTTGCAGGTACTGTGGTTTGCTCTTCCTCTACTATTTTTGACAATCCATCATGCAAATGTTTTTAATCAAGTGCTAATTTGTGGATCATTGACTTAGGAGCATAAAACCACATAACTTTTATCAGAAACTTTCTAATCAATATCAAAACTTTGCCTTTTCCCATACTAGTTTCTCTTCCAAAAGGATACAAACTCAAATTAACAAAGTTTGGAGATGTACCAGTCACATCTAGCATCATTTAACATCAAGTTTTATATGTTCCTTCTTTTAAGTATAATCTAGTTTCAGTTCGTTCCCTAACCGCTACCATGAAATGTATAGTCATGTTCACTAATGCATTGTGTCTATTGCAGGCCCCTTTAGCGAAGAGGCCTCAGGTTCTTGGTAATTGTAGAGATGGGCTTTACTTCTTATGCACAAAGTGCTTGAAGACTTCTGATAGTCAATACATGTCAGATATGTTGTTGTTTTCCCAATAATAGTCTGCTTTCTAGTTCCATTAAAGATGAAACATGTAATTCTTTTTCTGCCAATTCTTGTCCTCCAGATCAGTACAAAGTGTTTGTTTCTAATTCTGTTCCTCTTAAGTGTAAACCTTCTTCTAGTAATGTGAATGTTTTGGCTAATCACAGCTATTGTAGTACTGTTGGAGATAATGTAGACTTGTTGTGGCACAATACACTTGGCCATGTACCTTTTGTTAAGATGAAAAGTATCACTGACTTACCAGTCACTTTTTCTCCCAAACAAGCTTTTTCCTGCAACATTTGTCCAATGTCAAGACAACAAAGATTACCTTTTAGTCATAGCACAAGCCAAACCAAATACATTTTTGAACTACTACACATTGACTTATGGGGACCCTATCATGTATCCACCTATGACAACTACAAATATTTCATTACATTGGTAGATGATTAGCAGATCAACTTGGACACATCTCTTAAGTACCAAGAGCAATGCTCTACAGGTTTTGAAAAACTTTATAACTATGGTGGAGAATCAATTTAGTACCACAGTCAAAGGCATTAGAACATATAATGGACTGGAATTTACGAATAATGAAACACACCAATTTCTTTTATCCAAAGGGATTATTCATCAGAAAACTTGTCCATACACACCCCAACAAAATAGTATAGTCGAAAGAAAACATAAATATTTGTTGGAAACAGCTAGAGGTCTTTTATTTCAATCTAAACTACCTATAAGATACTGGGGAGAGTGTGTTTTAACAGCTACACATCTTATTAATAGACTTCCATCAAGTTATTTGAAAAATCAGTGTCCATATGAAGTATTGTACAATAAGAAACCAAACTATAGACAACTTAGATTCTTTGGTTGTCTTTGTTACCCTACTGTCCCAAAAGTACTTAAAGATAAGTTTGAGCCAAGAACCACTCCACATATTTTCTTAGGATATCTTTTTGGAACAAAAGGTTATAAGGTAATGAATCTGGCTACAAAGAAGATATATATCTCCAGGGATGTGATTTTCCATGAACATGTTTTTTGCTTTATCAACTGAAAGTATCTCTTTTCCTTCTGTTTTGAAGTCTTTTTCATCTCCTGATTATACTGATTTGGATTCATATAATAACTATGTAAATGATTGTGACAATGTGACTGATACAACTCCTTCTCATTTACCCAATCACATTACTCAAAATCCTAGTACACCTTCCACTACTTCTATTACATCATCTCAATATAATAATTCCACAATAGTACAGAGAAGGTCTCATAGCGAAAATAAAATACCATCACATTTGAAAGACTATATTGTCAATATTCCAAATTTTGAATTAGCCAACACCAACACACAAAACACAGAACTCAACAACAACTTATTCCTTATTGCACTATTTACCAAACACCAACATATATCTCCTGAAGTCATTGCATCTAATAGTCAGTCACTTGTTGAGAACATTTGTCATGATAGTGAGCCATCATCATATGAGGAAGCATCACTAAATCCTGCATGGAAAAAGGCTATGACACAAGAATTTGAAGCATTTTATGCTAATGATACTTGGGATCTTGTTACTTTACCACCAAACAAACAAGCAGTTGGATGTAGGTGGGTGTACAAAGTTAAATATAAAGCAGATGGAAGCATAGAAAGGTTCAAGGCACGACTGGTTGTGAAAGGGTATACACAGCAAGCTGGAATTGACTACACTGAGACTTATTCACCTGTGGTTAAGATGACCAGAGTGAGAACATTGATAGCATGTGTTGTAAAGAAATGTTGGAGTATGTTTCTACTTGATGTAAATAATGCATTCCATCAGGGAGATCTTCATGAAGAGGTTTACATGAGTTGAAGTGCCTAATTCAGAACTGGTTTGTAAGCTGAAAAAGTCTCTTTATGGTCTCAAACAAGCAAGTAGGCAGTGGTATTCTAATCTAACTGAGGCATTGTCATCCAGAGGTTACTCATATTCACATTTTGATCACTCTTTATTTTACAGAAAGGAAGGATCCTTGGCAGTGTTTGTTGCAGTATATGTGGATGATGTTATTTTAACAGGCACAGACACAACTGAGATTGCACAACTGAAAATATATCTGGACAACACTTTCAAAATGAAAGATCTTGGAAGACTTCATTATTTTCTGGTCTTGGAGATTCTTGATACAACAGATGGAGTACTCATTTCTTAGAGAAAGTTTACTTTAGACTTACTCAAAGAATATGATTGCTTCAATTATACACCTTTATATTCTCCTTTGGATCCTACTGTTAAATTGAGATCCAAGGAAGGAACTCCTTTGATCCCACTTTTTATAGAATGTTAATAGGAAAGTTAAATTTCTTAACTAATACTAGATTGGACATAGCTTTTAGTGTACAACACTTAAGCCAATTCATGCAAGATCCACGAGCTCTACATTTACAAGCAGCTTATCATCTGCTTAGATACCTCAAAAAAGATACTACTTTAGGAGTTCATTTGTCTAAGGACCCTTACTGCACAATTAAAGCATTTTGTGATTCAGATTGGGCATCATGTCTAGACTCAAGGAGGTCAGTCAGTGGCTATTTAGTGTTACTTGGGAACAGTCCTATTAGCTGGAAGTCTAAGAAATAAGAGACAGTCTCCCTATAATCAGCTGAAGCAGATTATAGATCACTTAGAAAGGTTGTAGGAGAGTTAACTTGGACTCAAAGATTGCTTACTGAGTTGACTATTTCTATTTCCTCTCCTATTAGTGTTTATTGTGACAGTCAATCTGCTATTCACATTGCTCGTAATCATGTGTTTCATGAGAGAACTAAACACATTGAGGTGGATTTTTACTTCATACGTGATAATCTTCAGTAGGGGCTAATTTCTTTACATCATCTGTCTACTTCTGATCAGCTTGCTGATATTCTTACTAAGGCACTCACTGGCATCAAACATTTGGCCATTTTGCACAAGTTGGGTGTGAAATCATCACCTCCAACTTGAGGAGGGGTATTAACATTCATAATTAAAACATGTGCATTAATTATTTCAATTAGTTAGTTAGTTTCCATTTCATAGTTAGTGATGTCATAGTTAGTTACATAACAAACTAATTAGTTAGTTAGTTATTCTTTTACTTTCCACTAGATTGATTCATACAAATCGCATGTATATATAAATCTCATGAATGATGAATGAAGTAATCAATCTTTCTATAAGATACAATCTCAAAATCTGCATTGCTATTCTTTCAATTTCCAGTTAGAGAGCTTCATAGCCTCGTCCATGGCTGCTCTTGTGTAGCTTGAAGGTTCTTAATAGTACTTGTGCATTATCCCAAAAATAAATAAAAAGTAATGTTTTTACATATAATATCATGTTCGGTGTTTTTCTGTTTATTGTAGTTACTTCAAAAAAGTTCTTTCCTTTTTCTTCTTAACCTTCCTTTCATTTTTTACTTGATTGACTACTATACATCCTCTTCGTTTTTTCTTGCCATTTCTTTCCTAATATTCTTAATTTTTTTGAAAAAGGACGTAAAACTTGGAGTATTATAAATGTTACAAAACTTTACTCTTTCCACCTATTGGCTTCAAAATATCCTTCTCACTCACCTATTAGATCCAAAATACCATTGTCATCCACCTTTGGGTTCAAAATTGACCACTTATTTAATGATTTTAAATTTAAACTTTTTAAATACGTGGAGCTCATCTATTTTTTATAATTTAACTTATTAGTATAATTTATAAATCAATTCACTACCCACCCATTACTAATTGAACTCCACCCAATTATTAAACCAACCTCATTATTAATGCAACAACAAGAAACTATTGAGGAGAAAATTTCTATAGAAGTATATTTATCATATATTCAAGTCCTCAATCAAAACATATTATAATTCATGTATATAAATAAAAATTACCGATAAACTTGAAAGTCTGGCTATGTTCATCTTAGTTATTCCTTTGTCTAAATTATGTGATGTTACTTACTAGATAACTTTTTTTAAAAATAATATATCAAAGATATAATATTTAAAACAAATCATAAATATTTACAAAATTATACTAAAAAGTGCACGAATTAATCGGGATGTTTTAATTATTTACCTGTAATCGTAAATTTCGAATTAAAGCTTGAAAGAGAATCCTATTGAAAGTGTCCTCATAAACAAGCGGTTCAACCTAAATTTTATTGGGGCTTCGGTTCATAGTTATATAATTTTGGATGTCCTTTTTAAGAATCTATAATTTCGTCGTATTTTAGTAGTGCTTAGGGAGATTTTGATTTTTGAATTAGTTTATTTAGTAATGAGTGGGTAGTGGGTTGGTTCATAAATGATATTAATAAATTAAATTATAACCGATAGTTGAACGTCAAGT